ACGCGAGCTTTTAAATCTCTGCACAAAATTCAATTTAAACCAGCAAATAATAGAGCCTACTAGACTGGAGAATACACTAGACCTCATCTTCACTAACAATGATGATTGATAAGAAATATCACCATATCAAAAACAATATACTCAGATCACAACATAATTGAGGTTCAGTCATGTATGCGCGGAGCCCCAGACCGACATAATGAGATTAGTCACGAGGGAGCATTCACCAAATTCAACTTCAATAACAAAAACATAAAGTGGGACCAAGTAAACCAAGTCCTAACCGATATAAGCTGGGAAGATATACTAAGCAACACAGACCCCAACTTATGCCTAGAACAGATTAACTCGGTGGCACTCGATGTATGCACAAGGCTTATTCCTCTAAGAAAAAGGAGGAGTAGATGTAAAAAAAGAAAGAGACAGACGCTCCCTTTACAGGCGACGGAAAAGAATAACAGAGCGGCTAAAAGAGGTCAATATATCTGAAATGCGTAGGGAGACACTGGTCAGAGAAATAGCAAGCATCGAACTTAAGCTAAAGAATCCTTTAGGAGTCAGGAATCGCGGGAAGAACTAAAAGCCATAAATGAAATCGAAAGAAACCCAAAGTATTTCTTCTCCTATGCCAAATCAAAATCGAGAACAACGTCCAGTATTGGGCCCCCACTTAAACAAGATGGGTCCTACACAGATGACAGCAAGGAAATGAGTGAGCTACTCAAGTCCCAATATGACTCAGTTTTTAGCAAGCCGCTAACCAGACTGGAGATCGAAGATCAAAATGAATTTTTTATGAGAGAGCCACAAAATTTGATTAACACAAGCCTATCCGATGTTATCCTGACGCCAAATGACTTCGAACAGGCGATAAATGACATGCCCATGCACTCTGCCCCAGGGCCAGACTCATGGAACTCTGTGTTCATCAAGAACTGCAAGAAGCCCCTATCACGAGCCTTTTCCATCCTATGGAGAGGGAGCATGGACACGGGGGTGTCCCACAGTTACTAAAAACAACAGACATAGCCCCACTCCACAAAGGGGGCAGTAAAGCAACAGCAAAGAACTACAGACCAATAGCACTAACATCCCATATCATAAAAATCTTTGAAAGGGTCCCCAAGAAGCAAGATCACCACGCATCTAGAAACCATCAGTTACACAAACCCAGGGCAACATGGGTTTAGAACAGGTTTGCTCCTGTCTGTCTCAACTATTGGACCACTACGACAAGGTCCTAAATGCACTAGAAGACAAAAAGAATGCAGATGTAATATATACAGACTTTGCAAAAGCCTTCGACAAGTGTGACCATGGCGTAATAGCGCACAAAATGCGTGCTAAAGGAATAACAGGAAAAGTCGGTCGATGGATCTATAATTTCCTCACTAACAGAACACAGAGAGTAGTCGTCAACAGAGTAAAGTCCGAGGCAGCTACGGTGAAAAGCTCTGTTCCACAAGGCACAGTACTCGCTCCCATCTTGTTCCTCATCCTTATATCCGACATAGACAAGGATGTCAGCCACAGCAAACCGTGTCTTCCTTTGCAGATGACACCCGAATCTGCATGACAGTGTCTTCCATTGCAGACACTGCAAAGCTCCAGGCAGACATCAACCAAATCTTTCAGTGGGCTGCAGAAAACAATATGAAGTTCAACGATGAGAAATTTCAATTACTCAGATATGGTAAACATGAGGAAATTAAATCTTCATCAGAGTACAAAACAAATTCTGGCCACAAAATAGAGCGAAACACCAACGTCAAAGACCTGGGAGTGATCATGTCGGAGGATCTCACCTTCAAGGACCATAACATTGTATCAATCGCATCTGCTAGAAAAATGACAGGATGGATAATGAGAACCTTCAAAACTAGGGAGGCCAAGCCCATGATGACACTCTTCAGGTCACTTGTTCTATCTAGGCTGGAATATTGCTGCACACTAACAGCACCTTTCAAGGCAGGTGAAATTGCCGACCTAGAAAATGTACAGAGAACTTTCACGGCGCGCATAACGGAGATAAAACACCTCAATTATTGGGAGCGCTTGAGGTTCCTAAACCTGTATTCCCTGGAACGCAGGAGGGAGAGATACATGATTATATACACCTGGAAAATCCTAGAGGGACTAGTACCGAACTTGCACACGAAAATCACTCATTACGAAAGCAAAAGACTTGGCAGACGATGCACCATCCCCCCAATGAAAAGCAGGGGTGTCACTAGCACGTTAAGAGACCATACAATAAGTGTCAGGGGCCCGAGACTGTTCAACTGCCTCCCAGCACACATAAGGGGGATTACCAACAGACCCCTGGCAGTCTTCAAGCTGGCACTGGACAAGCACCTAAAGTCAGTTCCGGATCAGCCGGGCTGTGGCTCGTATGTTGGTTTGCGTGCAGCCAGCAGCAACAGCCTGGTTGATCAGGCTCTGATCCACCAGGAGGCCTGGTCTCAGACCGGGCCGCGGGGGCGTTGACCCCCGGAACTCTCCCCAGGTAAACTCCAGGTAAAGCCTATCTACTACACAGGTTCATTAAGGTTGCGTGTGACACCTGTACAACACCAGTCAGGAATAATTTAATATCTAAAATAAAAGTAAGTAAATTCTCAATGTATATACACAGACATACACCTCTCAGTGTATATACACTGAGACATACACCTCTCAGTGTATATACACTGAGACATACACCTCTCAGTGTATATACACTGAGACATACACCTCTCAGTGTATATACACTGAGACATACACCTCTCAGTGTATATACACTGAGACATACACCTCTCAATGTATATACACTAAGACATACACCTCTCAGTGTATATACACTGAGACATACACCTCTCAGTGTATATACACTGAGACATACACCTCTCAGTGTATATACACTGAGACATACACCTCTCAGTGTATATACACTGAGACATACACCTCTCAGTGTATATACACTGAGACATACACCTCTCAGTGTATATACACTAAGACATACACCTCTCAGTGTATATACACTGAGACATACACCTCAGTGTATATGTCAGCATAGTTGCTGATCCCCCTTACATGTGTTGTATAGCTTAGCTGAGTATCATAGTACCATCCATGTGTTTATATAGAAGATCCCTATTAGGCCTAGTGACTGTATGACGTCACGGGATGCGGCATGAGAGTGGGACCCGCTGCCTCGCTCTCAGTCCATGCTTAGACATACAACAGGCAAGTAGGCAGGCTGGGCCCTTCCCTTACCACAGTCTGACAATATATAGTGTTACCATCCACAAGTGTGTTTATCTTCAACCATCATATCTCCTTCCGAACCCCCATGAATAATATACACTGAGACATACACCTCTCAGTGCATATACACTAAGACATACACCTCTCAGTGCATATACACTGAGACATACACCTCTCAGTGCATATACACTGAGACATACACCTCTCAGTGCATATACACTGAGACATACACCTCTCAGTGTATATATACCGAGACATACACCTCTCAGTGTATATATACCGAGACATACACCTCTCAGTGTATATATACCGAGAATACACCTCTCAGTGTATATATACCGAGACATACACCTCTCAGTGTATATATACCGAGACATACACCTCTCAGTGTATATATACCGAGACATACACCTCTCAGTGTATATATACCGAGACATACACCTCTCAGTGTATATATACCGAGACATACACCTCTCAGTGTATATATACCGAGACATACACCTCTCAGTGTATATATACCGAGACATACACCTCTCAGTGTATATATACCGAGACATACACCTCTCAGTGTATATATACCGAGACATACACCTCTCAGTGAATATATACCGAGACATACACCTCTCAGTGTATATATACCGAGACATACACCTCTCAGTGTATATATACCGAGACATACACCTCTCAGTGTATATATACCGAGACATACACCTCTCAGTGTATATATACCGAGACATACACCTCTCAGTGTATATATACCGAGACATACACCTCTCAGTGTATATATACCGAGACATACACCTCTCAGTGTATATATACCGAGACATACACCTCTCAGTGAATATATACCGAGACATACACCTCTCAGTGTATATATACCGAGACATACACCTCTCAGTGTATATATACCGAGACATACACCTCTCAGTGTATATATACCGAGACATACACCTCTCAGTGTATATATACCGAGACATACACCTCTCAGTGTATATATACCGAGACATACACCTCTCAGTGTATATATACCGAGACATACACCTCTCAGTGTATATATACCGAGACATACACCTCTCAGTGTATATATACCGAGACATACACCTCTCAGTGTATATATACCGAGACATACACCTCTCAGTGTATATATACCGAGACATACACCTCTCAGTGTATATATACCGAGACATACACCTCTCAGTGTATATATACCGAGACATACACCTCTCAGTGTATATATACCGAGACATACACCTCTCAGTGTATATATACCGAGACATACACCTCTCAGTGTATATATACCGAGACATACACCTCTCAGTGTATATATACCGAGACATACACCTCTCAGTGTATATATACCGAGACATACACCTCTCAGTGTATATATACCGAGACATACACCTCTCAGTGTATATATACCGAGACATACACCTCTCAGTGTATATATACCGAGACATACACCTCTCAGTGTATATATACCGAGACATACACCTCTCAGTGTATATATACCGAGACATACACCTCTCAGTGTATATATACCGAGACATACACCTCTCAGTGTATATATACCGAGACATACACCTCTCAGTGTATATATACCGAGACATACACCTCTCAGTGTATATATACCGAGACATACACCTCTCAGTGTATATATATACTGAGACATACACCTTTGTGTTTGCCTATGATTACTTTCAAATGATTGGAAATAAAATGATCATTATCATCTTAAATAAAATAATGATACTCACTTGTGACCGATCTCATGTGCCATGACATAGACCGAGGCAAAGCCAGCAGTAGGGTATGGCTTACCCCATGTGTCTGTAACACCCAACTCAACGATGACAGCACTGTACTCGGGCACACACACTCCACGCACCGCAGCCAGACCTGTACATATATTATATAATTATATATGTACAACCACCACAGGGGGAGTTGAATGATAGCTCTAGGCCTTTCGTGTTGCAATCACATCAGGAGCTTGCAATGCTGCAGAAAGATCTCACCAAATTCATTCAGAGGGACACAAGATCGTCCCTCTGATGTTGGGTCACAGTCCTTGGACCTATTATGTACTTCTGATCTTTTGGCTACCGCCCACAGAATTTGATGGTAATTAATTATAAGGTTTCTTCACTTCTGTTATGAATCTGCTTTCACAGAAAGTCATACATACATATTTTTTTTCCTGCATGACTACAATATAATCTTATATATCAGTGGTGTGCAATATCTACAGTTTGATAAGACACTAAAGTCTTCATTGTCGGAACGTTTCGCCTGCGTAGCAGGCTTCTTCAAGCGAATGCAGGAGACAGTGTTATGTTCTTCTGTAGCCTGAAGAAGTCTGCTACGTAGACGAAACGTTTCGACAATAAAGATACCCAAGTATTACATGTGTTAATGTTACTCACCCATGGTAGAGTATGAGGGGTCGCCGCTCCCTGCCTTCACCGTGTAGAAGTTGTGCCTGTTGTGGTCACGCAAGAGTAAGACATGTGCAATAGTTTGGTATATTTATTGAAACGTTTCGCCTACACAGTAGGCTTTTTCGGTCAAATACAGAGGGTGTAGAAGTAGTGAAGTAAAGATGATGTAATCAGTTCGTCAATCAACCTTGGAAAAATAGTATTTGAGGTGGTCAGTCCCTCAGCCTGGAGAAGAGTTCAGCTTCATGGTCTGGAACAAGGTGGTCAGTCCCTCAGCCTGGAGAAGAGTTCAGCTCCATGGTCTGGAACAAGGTGGTCAGTCCCTCAGCCTGGAGAAGAGTTCAGCTTCATGGTCTGGAACAAGGTGGTCAGTCCCTCAGCCTGGAGAAGAGTTCAGCTCCATGGTCTGGAACAAGGTGGTCAGTCCCTCAGCCTGGAGAAGAGTTCAGCTCCATGGTCTGGAACAAGGTGGTCAGTCCCTCAGCCTGGAGAAGAGTTCAGCTCCATGGTCTGGAACAAGGTGGTCAGTCCCTCAGCCTGGAGAAGAGTTCAGCTCCATGGTCTGGAACAAGGTGGTCAGTCCCTCAGCCTGGAGAAGAGTTCAGCTCCATGGTCTGGAACAAGGTGGTCAGTCCCTCAGCCTGGAGAAGAGTTCAGCTCCATGGTCTGGAACAAGGTGGTCAGTCCCTCAGCCTGGAGAAGAGTTCAGCTCCATGGTCTGGAACAAGGTGGTCAGTCCCTCAGCCTGGAGAAGAGTTCAGCTCCATGGTCTGGAACAAGGTGGTCAGTCCCTCAGCCTGGAGAAGAGTTCAGCTCCATGGTCTGGAACAAGGTGGTCAGTCCCTCAGCCTGGAGAAGAGTTCAGCTCCATGGTCTGGAACAAGGTGGTCAGTCCCTCAGCCTGGAGAAGAGTTCAGCTCCATGGTCTGGAAAAAGGTGGTCAGTCCCTCAGCCTGGAGAAGAGTTCAGCTCCATGGTCTGGAAAAAGGTGGTCAGTCCCTCAGCCTGGAGAAGAGTTCAGCTCCATGGTCTGGAACAAGGTGGTCAGTCCCTCAGCCTGGAGAAGAGTTCAGCTCCATGGTCTGGAACAAGGTGGTCAGTCCCTCAGCCTGGAGAAGAGTTCAGCTCCATGGTCTGGAAAAAGGTGGTCAGTCAGTCAGCCTGGAGAAGAGTTCAGCTCCATGGTCTGGAAAAAGGTGGTCAGTCCCTCAGCCTGGAGAAGAGTTCAGCTCCATGGTCTGGAACAAGGTGGTCAGTCCCTCAGCTGGAGAAGAGTTCAGCTCCATGGTCTGGAACAAGGTGGTCAGTCCCTCAGCCTGGAGAAGAGTTCAGCTCCATGGTCTGGAACAAGGTGGTCAGTCCCTCAGCCTGGAGAAGAGTTCAGCTCCATGGTCTGGAACAAGGTGGTCAGTCCCTCAGCCTGGAGAAGAGTTCAGCTCCATGGTCTGGAAAAAGGTGGTCAGTCCCTCAGCCTGGAGAAGAGTTCAGCTCCATGGTCTGGAAAAAGGTGGTCAGTCCCTCAGCCTGGAGAAGAGTTCAGCTCCATGGTCTGGAACAAGGTGGTCAGTCCCTCAGCCTGGAGAAGAGTTCAGCTCCATGGTCTGGAACGATAAAATTGCAACGATATTGTTCCAGACCATAGAGCTGAACTCTTCTCCAGGCTGAGGGACTGGCCACCTCAAATACTTTTTTCTCCAAGATTGATGGACTGATTATATCATCTTTACTTCACTACTACTCTTGCTGCCTCTGTATTTGACTGAAGAAGCCTACTATGTAGGCGAAACGTCTCAACAATAAAGATACCCAACTGCTGCACATGTGTCTTAATCATGTCGTCCCTATTTTATACCATTTTCAACATAAGAATCAAATTATTTTTATTTTGAAAACATCACAAATATAGATCATTGAAAACATCTTAGCATAAACACTATTTCGGGCAGGTTGTCCATCATCATCACTGGGAATGTGAAAAAAAATGTTTTTCACTGTTGAATTTAAAAGCTAAGATCCTTCTTCGCCAACCTTGATGCTGACGAAGGGCTCTTTATCTAAGGAATGGGAGCTACTCTCCCCTTCCTCGGATTTAACCTGGTTACCGCCCATTCCCAGGCGTTTAATTCAAATTCAAAGTTTATTCTCTATAAGGATTACAATGCTGAGTTTACAGGAATTTGGTTATTGTGTGGTTTACATGTAGTAAAATAGTGATTACAGAGTGTACCACTAGAACGCTTAGCATGGCTAGGCATTTCGGGCAGACTTAGTTTTATTCTTAATTGTAAAATATTACAAATTATGAGGTAAGTTGGTATTATGGCTAATTGACTAAATACTAGTTTGTGAGTTTAGCAATGTGAATGCTTTTGTTTTGGCACAGTACATAGTTTCAGTATTGGAGTATCACAGGATTCATTATTTTAAGATTGAGATTAATATTTCTGTTTATGGTCAAATGAGTGAGTGAGTGTAAGTGTGAACCACCAGGTGGTATTCGTGTAGTTAGTTGACATTCATAACCCCTACGAGTTTAGCGCTTTGCTATGACTAGACTAATGACATTTTAGCGCTTATGAATGTAATAATGATCTGTAGATATAATTACAAATGTAAAATGATAATTGTAATAAGGAAAGAACAACAAGAAGATAAGAAAGAGGAACAGGAAAGAGTGGAAATATAACAACATAAGTGTAGGAAGGATGGGGTAACTTACCCTGAGATAAGGATGCCAATATCCCAGGGTTTAATATCCACCATGTTAGCGGTGCTCTTGATCCTCTCCAGGTTGTACATCCTGAAAGAGTCATACAACTTCTCACGGTCACCACCGAAGTGCACCAGCCTGGCCGGCTGCTTAACCATCAGTTCAACGTAGTTAATGACCAGCCGGATCTTGTGTCCCAGTGACGGGTGGTGGAACAACGCCTGGATCTGTTCACGATGACATTGTTCCATAAGGAGGAATATACAAATTACCCCACACATGGGAAAATGTAACGTATATCGACGTTTCTGTAACAGTAACAATAATTAATAATAATAATCACCCCATTCACGTAGCAGAGTATGAACTGTGTGAGGTCATCACGTGACCCCAGGTAAGGGTAGAAGAGGTCATAGGCAGCCTGGTCGACGAACACACCAAGTTCAATGGTCTTACTCAGACTTCTCTTCCTCTGTAACACAAACATACATCATAATAGAACAAACTGCCAGTGTTACGTCCTTGCCGGTCATTTCCCTCTTCAAGATCGTTAGGTTTAAGGGGCGCGTCAGTTTCCTTGTCTTCTAATGATGTTATTTTTCCACTATAATCTACCTTGTCCATAATTACTATATCATTTGCTTTGTTTTGTATGGTAAAGTCTAGGATCTTTCCTTAATTCATGGTGCAACTTAAATCTTTGAGAACAATTGTAGAGGTCTAAGCAAAGCTCAAACCTCTGCAACAAAATTGTCCTCAAAGATTTGTTAAGTTATACCGTGAATTAAGGAATGATCCTAGACTTCACCTTACGAAACAAAGAAAATGCCATAGTAATTATGGACAATGTAGATTATAGGGGAAAAATAAATATGTTAAGAAACAGGAAAACTCAACGCTGAATGCACTTACCTGAGGGACTAATCTTATTGTAAGTCAAACCCCACCCTTTCCATGGCTTGTTAGTAATCGTGTTACTACGATTTCGTTAGTTTTATAAGCCTCTGGAGGTCTGCAGGTTTCTGAATCTGACTGACCGGGTGTTGGCTCAATACCTGTCTTGTGCACGCTGTGCTTGTGAGAGTGTTACTTACTCTACGTTGGTCGAGTTGGCTAGGGAAGTTAGGTCGTGGTGATGACGATGGTGGTGGTGTGATGGTGTCTGGTTTAGAAAGAGAAACTCCAGATTAATGTCAATTTGTAGAAAATTATATATAGCCATAAACACCTTCCATTCTACTTCCGAGTTTGGGCAAACCTTCCATAGCTAGTTAGTTAGTATATGGGTTTAGCTCTTCCCCGTAATTATTATAGTATTATCATAATAATGATAGTAACAACAGAGGTTTCTTAACTGACCTATGTATCTTTTCATAACCTCTGGTGATCCGGTGAAGAGATGCGGGCTTGTCCCCATAAGCGGTCCTGTCGTGGGTGGTGTATGGGCGGCCATGGGCGGTCCTGTCGTGGGTGGTGCATGGGCGGCCATGGGCGGTCCTGCCGTGGGTGGCGTATGGGTGAGAGTGAGTGCAGCCTCCGTTACCAAGCTTGTCTGCCACGCCTGCACCAGGAAACAAAAGTTATACACAGAATAAAGCACCAGTACAGGGACGCCCGTGACACTATATGTCACGTCTCTTACACGGGGTGTAAATCCTAGCATTATATCCACTGTTGTGATATTAAAATATTTGATGGGGGTGGACAGTGTGTTGGATGAATCTTATCGTAGCCAGGTGGCCCAGTGCCTTACGCACTGGCCTGGAGTTTCACGACTCGTTTGCCGTGAATTCGATCCCCACCTGTACCGTGGTTTGTGATCTTGAAATGTTGGGTAGAGTGGACAGGAAAAAACAAAATAAAGGCTCGGTCTTATGACCTAAAGTTGCACTGAATAGTTAGTGTCACAAGTAGGAAGAACTTTCAACATTTCTCCTGACAAATAAAACACATCCACCACAATATTCACTGTCACAAGTTAAAAAAGAGTTGTAGCCCTAATTTTTTAACTCACTAACGAGTTGTTCTAATATTATAGTCATAGGAAAGCGTTAAATCCGTAAGGGTCATACTGTTTTATAGTTAACAGCCGAACAAAGGACGGTTATCATCAGGGGATTACCAAAAGACTCTTGGCAGCCTTCAAGAGTGAACTGGACAAGGCTCTCAAGCCAGTTCCTGATTAACCAGACTGTGGTGCATTCGCTGGACTTCGTGTGGTTTTTCCACAAACAGCCTGCTTGATCAGTCCATCCACCGGGAGGCCTGGGGCCGAGCTGCGGGGGCGGTGACCCCCGGGACACTCCAGGTAGACCTCCGACATGTAACGCTAAATGACCTACATACATAAGAACATAAAGAAGGAACACTGCAGCAGGACTACTGGCCCATGTGAGGCAGGTCCAAGTCTCCTACCGGCTTAAGCCAATGACCCAACCTAGTCAGGTCAGGTCACATTCACTTAAGGAAGGAGCACGGATTTAGCATTCTCAGTACAATGACAAATAATAATAATTACCTGGGGAGGGATGGTGAGGATCTCTCCCTGGTCAAACTCCATATCATCTGGAACAGCGTTACCTATAGGCTCTGTCGACACAACACATTACCATACATTAACATATAAAATTTTGCACCTCTAGTCTAATAAACCTAAAGCTTGCCAGTGATTAAAAAAACATCAGCTTAGAAGGTTTGAAGCCGATCCACTGAGGCATTCACAAATTATCTCTTGAAAACCCGTATTTAAATTTTCTCAGCTTCTGCAGTAAAATTAAGTGTTAATAACCCATGTTGTATGAGAATCTAAGGAAGAAGTTATGTTCTATATACAAGAAATATAAACTAACCCTTGCAGGCTGGAGGAGGAATGTCGACGTCCATGTTGGAGGGTTGTGGACGTGCTGGAGGAGTGTTGGGGGGTTGTGGTCGTGGTGGAGGAGTGTTGGGGGGTTGTGGTCGTGGTGGAGGAGTGTTGGAGGGTTGTGGGCGTGGTGGTGGGGGTGTGTTGGGGACCCTCCTCACGAGGTGTGGCATGCCCCTTGCCTCTAACCTGACACCTCCTCGCTTGAAGGCTTGGTGCACAGCCTCGGCCGCAGCTCCTTCCAGCGGCCGCACCTCCAGGGTGGTGTTGCGGCTGACCAAGTACCCCGCCTGCGGCAAGTAACTTTATTCAGGTATACACAAATACAGTTACACAGAGTATCATACATAGCAGCACATGTGTAGAGAACCTCAGAAAACACATAAAAGTCAGACTGACATTACCGTTGCGTCACCAGTGAAAACCATACCTATGACTTTATATTTGCATTCATATTACGCGTTGAATTAAGCCGAAATACATATACCAAGACAAACATGGAAGAAATCACAGTAATTACATGATTGCAAGTATGTAAAAATACTGCAGTGAAAATAGGAAAAAAAAATACCTGAGTGCTCAGGTGTTTTTTTCCTGTTTTCACTGTGGCATTTTTATAGACATGGTATAATGATTTAACCTAGGATACCCCTACAATTAACCTAGATTACAATTAATCTAAGCATATCCCTACAAGTCCTCTCAAGGATTTGTATACAATACACAAATAACGCGAGTGTAGCTTGTCCTACACTACACGGCGACGTTTCGGTCCTACTTGAACCCATTTACAGGTTATTTGTGTATTGTTCCAATCACGGTATTGTGCCTTTTTGTTGTTTGTTTATGTACAGTTTGGACTCGTGAAGTTTGCAGCAAGTAGGTACCTGGGTGTTAGTCGACTGGTGTGGGTGGCATCCTGGGGGACAAGATTAAGGACCCCAATGGAAATAAGACAGTCAGTCCTCAATGACGCACTGACTTTCTTGGGTTATCCTGGGTGGCTAACCCTCCGGGGTTAAAAATCCGGACGAAATCTTATCAGTAATACTGACCAGAGTGCCTAGTGCACAGCGGTATTTATATTCGTAAGATATTACACGTTGTGTTAAGACGAAATACATATATGTAGGAGGCCTGGTCACAGACCGGGCCGCGGGGGGCGTTAACCCCCGGAACTCTCTCCCTGTAAACTCCAGGTATATGTACCAAGATAATATTATAATGGATTAACCTAAGATACTCCGACAATTAACCTAGATTACAATTAGTCTAAGAATATCCCCACAATTCCTCACGAGGATTTGTGTACAGTTTGCACTCATGATACTGACCAGAGTGCCAGGTCTGCAGGCACTGAGAGCAGCGGTGATGTCCCCATCAACGTGGGTGTAGTGGCATAATGTGGGAGTGATGGGTGTGGGCAGTGATGGCTGTGGGCTGCCCACTTCCAGGAGGTGGGCGGTGGGTGACACCAGGTGCGTCGTGGGCACCAGTTTCAGACTGAACCGCCTGCCCAACACCACAAATTTCACAATTAATATCAGGAATAAAAGTCACAACGAAGCTGGAACAATTCACAATCTGCACTCAAATACCTGGTTATATTATCAATAATCCCATATGACAGTCTACTGATGTTAGTAGACAGAAGTGTGTGTTGATGCTAGTAGACAGAAGTGTGTGTTGATGTTAGTAGACAAAAGTGTGTGTTGATGTTAGTAGACAAAAGTGTGTGTTGATGTTAGTAGACAAAAGTGTGTGTTGATGTTAGTAGACAAAAGTGTGTGTTGATGTTAGACAAATGTGTGATGTGAACAAAAGTGTGTGTTGATGTTAGTAGACAAAAGTGTGTGTTGATGTTAGTAGACAAAAGTGTGTGTTGATGTTAGTAGACAAAAGTGTGTGTTGATGTTAGTAGACAAGTGTGTTGATGTTAGTAGACAAAAGTGTGTGTTGATGTTAGTAGACAAAAGTGTGTGTTGATGTTAGTAGACAAAAGTGTGTGTTGATTGTTAGTAGACAAAAGTGTGTGTTGATGTTAGTAGACAAAAGTGTGTGTTGATGTTAGTAGACAAAAGTGTGTGTTGATGTTAGTAGACAAAAGTGTGTGTTGATGTTAGTAGACAAAAGTGTGTGTTGATGTTAGTAGACAAAAGTGTGTGTTGATGTTAGTAGACAAAAGTGTGTGTTGATGTTAGTAGACAAAAGTGTGTGTGATGTTAGTAGACAAAAGTGTGTGTGATGTTAGTAGACAAAAGTGTGTGTTGATGTTAGTAGACAAAAGTGTGTGTTGATGTTAGTAGACAAAAGTGTGTGTTGATGTTAGTAGACAAAAGTGTGTGTTGATGTTAGTAGACAAAAGTGTGTGTGATGTTAGTAGACAAAGTGTGTTGATGTTAGTAGACAAAAGTGTGTGTTGATGTTAGTAGACAAAAGTGTGTGTTGATGTTAGTAGACAGAAGTGTGTGCTGATGTTAGTAGACAGAAGTGTGTGCTGATGTTAGTAGACAGAAGTGTGTGCTGATGTTAGTATACAGGAGTGAAATTAGGAATGAAATTAGCTAATCATTTTAATTAATACGTTTTAGAATGAATAAGTATTAAGGTGTGCCTTTAGAGGTGAAGTCAGAGTAAAATAATGTTAATTTATTAAAATAAAGAAAGCAGCGATTTAACCACGATTACAATCTGGTGCTGGGGATTAGATCAGGATTTCAATCTGGTTGGAGGATGTGTTAGGTTAGGATTTCAGATTCGATCCTCAGCTAATCGCCAAACATGGCACCTAAATTACAAAAATATTCTTTAAAGATAAAACAATATACGAACTTACCTGTTGAACGCTGTGAAGGAATAAACGAGCGGGGAAGCTGGAGGGTATCGCTTGCTAGGTATATTGACGACCAGTGTTGGTAAAGAGGGGTGGGCGGGTGTGGGCGGCGGGGTGGGGTGACGATGTAGGTACACCAGTTCCAAGTCTGCCAGCTGACCTTTCACCCCGACTGATGACTGCAGCGACCCGTCCTTGGTCAGTGCCTCGTGGAATAATGCAGTCTAGGACACAAAGGTAAACATTTTTACTCTGTCCCTTTGTAAGATAAGAGATAACTTGTTCAACTATGTTTTTACCACTGAATATATCATTGCTTAGTTAATCTTAAGTTAATTTTAAGCCTGCTCATAATGCTCTCCATACAAGGGGCTTTGGCAAGTTGCACTGTAATAACTTTGTACTCAATGTATCATGTTCAAATTAATAAATAAATAAATAAAACTTTGCGGCCCGGTCCCTGGACCCATTATGTACCTCTAGGCATAATAGAGGCTCTCTTTGTATTGCAACCCACTATTGCAAATACAAAATCTCAATGTAATAATTGCAAAGACATACAATAAATAAATACCATCCATTGACTACCGCCCACAGGGGTATGGGGTGACTACCGCCCACAGGATGGGTATGGGGTGACTACCGCCCACAGGATGGGTATGGGGTGACTACCACCCACAGGATGGGTATGGGGTGACTACCACCCACAGGATGGGTATGGGGGGACTACCGCCCACAGGATGGGTATGGGGTGACTACCGCCCACAGGATGGGTATGGGGTGACTACCGCCCACAGGATGGGTATGGGGTGACTACCGCCCACAGGATGGGTATGGGGTGACTACCGCCCACAGGATGGGTATGGGGTGACTACCACCCACAGGATGGGTATGGGGTGACTACCACCCACAGGATGGGTATGGGGTGACTACCACCCACAGGATGGGTATGGGGTGACTACCACCCACAGGATGGGTATGGGGTGACTATCACCCACAGGATGGGTATGGGGTGACTACCGCCCACGGGTTGGTATGGGGTGACTACCGCCCACAGGATGGGTATGGGGGTGACTACCACCCACAGGATGGGTAATGGGGTGACTACCACCCACAGGATGGGTAATGGGTGACTACCACCCACAGGATGGGTATGGGGTGACTACCACCCACAGGATGGTATGGGGTGACTACCACCCACAGGATGGGTATGGGGTGACTACCACCCACAGGATGGGTATGGGGTGACTACCGCCCACAGGTTGGGTATGGGGTGACTACCGCCCACAGGATGGGTATGGAGTGACTACCGCCCACAGGATGGGTATGGGGTGACTACCGCCCACAGGATGGGTATGGGGCGACTACCGCCCACAGGATGGGTATGGGGTGGCTACCACCCACAGGATGGGTATGGGGTGACTACCGCCCACAGGATGGGTATGGGGTGACTACCGCCCACAGGATGGGTATGGGGTGACTACCGCCCACAGGATGGGTATGGAGTAACTACCGCCCACAGGATGGGTATGGGGTGACTACCACCCACAGGATGGGTATGGGGTGACTACCGCCCACAGGTTGGGTATGGGGTGACTACCGCCCACAGGATGGGTATGGAGTGACTACCGCCCACAGGATGGGTATGGGGTGACTACCGCCCACAGGATGGGTATGGGGTGACTACCGCCCACAGGATGGGTATGGAGTGACTACCGCCCACAGGATGGGTATGGGGTGACTACCACCCACAGGATGGGTATGGGGTGACTACCGCCCACAGGTTGGGTATGGGGTGACTACCGCCCACAGGATGGGTATGGAGTGACTACCGCCCACAGGATGGGTATGGGGTGACTACCGCCCACAGGATGGGTATGGGGCGACTACCGCCCACAGGATGGGTATGGGGTGACTACCACCCACAGGATGGGTATGGGGTGACTACCGCCCACAGGATGGGTATGGGGTACACAATAAAAATGTTAAAGTAACAGTGGCCTACTTAATGTGTATTAAATAAGGGAGATTAAACTTTAGCCAAACCGAATCAGTCTTAAATCTAGAGCTTAGAGACTGTTTAGAAGTGGTTACCTGGAGGTTATTCCGGGGATCAACGCCCCCGCGGGGGTCCATGACCAGGCTCCTCCCGATGGATCAGGCCTGATCAACTAGGCTGTTACTGCTGGCCGCACGCAGTCGAGTACGAGCACAGCGGTGATCCGGCACTGACTTTAGGTATCTGTCCAGCTCTCTCTTGAAGGCAGCCAGGGGTTTATTGGCAATTCCCCTAATGCTTGATGGGAGGCTGTTGAACAGTTTTGGGCCCGACATTTAAATGGTGTTTTCTCTAGTGTACAATGGGCCCCTACTTTTTATTGGCGGCATTTTGCATCGCCTGCCCAGTCTTTTACTTTCGTAGGGAGTGATTTCTGTGTGCAGATTTGGGACCATTCCTTCCAAGATGAATATGATATAAACCGAGTACGTCACAGTTTATTTGGCACTCATAACACAATCACTTATTACATTCCCTCTGTACCAGTCAAGCTGTCAGTTGGTGTCATGGTTGTTGGGGCTCCCAGCTGCCCTGATTAGCTGTCAGGTTTATACTTATTATTAAAGATTTGCCGGTATTCTCCCGGCCCGGGCCTTTTCCAAGTGGTGGTCCGGCCGTCAGGTTTATACGTTAACTAATTAGGCGAGAGGCTAGTTCCAGCCGAATTTATATTACACTTAAACCTCTGAATGGAGTCAGTCTTACACTAACAAAGTACGCATACTGGTCTCTTGTACGAGTTATAGGCTGATACAAGTGAGTCAACTCGTTTTGCTCAACCTAATATTACATTGTGGGGTTCAGGGTGCAACTGGTTGCGAAGGGAGGTAGTGACATTGCCGGTATGTAGGGGAGGGTTAGGTTTGTTGGACTTGAGAAAGCGCGTGAAATGTGTGTTTATTAAGAGGGAAGTGATGAGTGCAGGTGCATGGAGGGGGGGGGGCAGCTAGATAAGGTACATGCTCACCTGAGGAAATGGTATGGAGGGGCGAAAATGAAGGAATGTGAAACAGTGTTACGTGCCTTAGTGTTATCCAGGGAACCGGGAAAAGTAAAGGTGGGAACTTTGTGTAAATTGTTAGAGGGACATGTAGTGGCGCCGGTTGAAGGGATCTACCCCATGTGTGCTTGGGATGTAATATGGCGAAGATTTAGTAAATTAAGGATACGACCTAGGACGCGTGAGGTTATGTATCGTTTCCTGCATGGGATTTTGACAACGGGAGCGATGCTCCGAGATAGGAGGGTTATCGAGGGTGGGGGGTGTGGCAGATGCAGTGGGGAAGACAATGCGTATCATGTTGTCTATTTTTGTGAAGGTTTGGAGTGAAACAGGGTATGGATGAGTAAGGTAGTGGTGAGGGTGGGGGGTCAAGGTGTGTCGGTATTGCGAGCGTTGAGTCTTGATATGAGTGGTGTGGATGAGGGTGTGGTAAGGGGTTTAACTTATGTAATCGTGGACTACATATATGTTTTGTGGGGTATGAGGGGAAAGGAGGGTGGGGATGTGCTGAGAAGGACTTTGGCGGCGACGTTTTATCGAACTTTGTGTCGCAATAGACACATTTTTGGAAAAAGGTGGGATGGGGTTTTTTCTGAGGGTTATAGGGGACTAACAATAGGGAACTTATTGGTGTTATAAGGGGCTTTAGCTGCCGGGGTGAGTAGGTTGGTAAAAGGGGGGGGGTTCAGGGGTATTCAACGGGCTCACCTCCTTGGGTGTGCAGTGATGTGTGATTGGGTGTGATTGGAGGTACTCGTGTGGGGCAAGATGAGAGGTTGTGAAAGATTAGTTTTGCTTAGTTCCCTTGATGGGGAAGGTGGAAATAGCAGTTTAAATATATCATATTTATTAATATATAACCTATAAATTATATAACATGTATATTTTTTGGTAGCGTATTATATTCATGTCCTAGTCTTGGATTCTTTACAATATTTACATAGCCTAGTAGTGTACCACTATGTAGCATGTGGTGTATTATGTTGCATTTTGTGCGTGAACTTCAAGGTATACAATGTTGTTTTGAAAGTTTGTATTTCATGGTTGTTAACATTAATAATTGATATTATATTGGTGGTGTATATTACTTTTACTTTTTAAGGTGTATGTGTATAGGAATGTATGTTTCATATTTGTTTTAGTTGTAAATTAAGTTTGTGTTGTTGATGCACTACCAACTCTTGGTAAATACTCATTAAGGTTTTGATGGGGTCAGGGTATGACCATTAATTAGGATAATTAATGTATGTTATTTAGAACGGTGACTGTACATATGTTAAGGGGGAGAAGTGTCAGCTGTGTGTCTACACTGGCAATAATGATTATTGTAAAAGGAGGGTTTGTAGGATGTGTTGTGGGTTATGTATATGGTTGTAATATGGCCATTATCTATGGTGTTTATTTTCTGTACTGGGATTGTGTACTAGAGGTTTTGTAATATCTAGTATGGTTTTAAATTTTATACTCATACATTATTGTATTTGTTCTATGTTTTAAATAAAAATATATAAAATAAAAACTTTTTGCTTATTGTAATTGATTTGTATGACATCTTCCTACACTGCTGCTCTACTAACACTGTACATATTGTAAATGGTGGTGGGAATATATAGATACTAAAAAAAAAAAAAAAAAAAAAAAAAAAAAAAAAAAAAAAAAAAATCCCCTCAAGGAAGGTTCCTTGATGTTGGTGAGGGGGCTCTTGATTTAGGGAATTGGATCTGTGCTCCAGTTCCCCGAATTAAGCCTGAATGTCTTCCACATATCCCCCCCCTCCAGGCGCTGTATAATCCTCCGGGTTTAGCGCTTCCCCCTTGATTATAATAATAATAATAAAAAAAAATATATAAACCTTTGTGTTTACCTTTGCCTATGTTCTTGTGGTTTGTAACTTTCCTGGGGACTTAACTTACGACCAGGTACTACAAGGCTTTCATTTGTACCTGCGCTCGGAATAGTGGATGACAACTGTTTAGAAGTGTGTGACAACACAACCAACTGGAGGAAGTAACTTGCTTGACTGGCAAACAAGGAATCTCAAGTGTCGAGGTCAATATTATTATTATTATTATAATCAAAAAGAAGCGCTAAGCCACAAGGGCTATACAGCGCTGCTTCGAGGTCAATAGAAACTCGGGAAACAATCACAAATCAGTGTCATGATCTTGCGGAATTAACTTAACTGTAATAACAAAGTTAATATCTTCTAACAAGGCTCGGGGACTGAGCACCTGAAAATTACCTCTCCACTTCATTCACTATCTCCAGTATTAAAATAAAATCACAATTCAGCTGAAGAAGCCTGCAGCGCAGGCGAAACGTTGCGGCAATACACTCAAGTGTTGCACAAGTTTTATTCATCAATATATCAGTATTATACACCTTTAATATAAAGACAGTACACTTTGCAACACCAGCTTATAATTACAAATAGGAGGGTACAAATAAGCAATTGCAAATGTGTAATTGGAAGCTCACCAGGTTCTGTGTTTGTTGACCAGTTGATGTGATGATCATGGTGAGCAAGATGATGATGGTGATCATTGTGCCGAGTGCGTGTGAACTGTTGGACCTGTTTACCAGGCCAGTAGGCCTGCAACCGTGCTCCTTCTTTCTTATGTTCTTAACACTATAGTATTAAAAAAATGCATTTAACGTAACGACCTGGAACGGTACTTCTGGCAATTTGGCAGACACATAGATAATCAAAAATGCAAAGTATACGGTCAGTTCTATGGTTACTATCTTGAACATTATGTGCTTATAGACTATTAAGCAAATTTCCTAAGTTTGCTTATAATAGATAACTTGACTAGATATAAATCCAGATGAATGCCTGTTAACCCTTTTGGTTCCCAGCGTCTAGGACTAGTATGTATCCATATAGGTGCTCCGTGGCCTGGTGGCTAAAGCTCTTGCTTCACACGACGAGAGTCCGGGTTCGATTTTCAGTGAGGGTAGGAACATTGTGCGTGTTTCTTTACACCGGTTGTCTGTGTTCACCCATCAGTAAAATGAGTATCTGGGAGTTAGTCGACTGGTGTGGGTCGCATCCTGGGACAAAAATAACCTAAATTGCCCGAAATGCTCTGCATAACAAGCTGCTTTCTATATAGTAGTATGTCACTGATGTCAGCTATGGTCTGTATCCTTGTACATGTACTTGTAGAAATAGAGATCATTATTCTTATATGCTGTTGCACTACCGTCCACAGGATTGCTATGAGGTGTACAATAAACTGCTCACTTCGGTGGCAAAATATAAAAATCTAATCTACCTGGAACAGTGAGAATGCCATCTTGTAAACCACTATACAATAACCACTTACTACTCAAAGGCTGGTTTACTGGGTTTAAAACCTATCGACTACACGAAGATTATTAAGACTGCTGCAGATATATTATTCAAGGTTAAGTTAATTCATACCCAAAACTATCTAAATTATTATATTCGTGGGGAAACACTAAACCCGTAGGGATCATACAGTGTTTGGGGGGATGAGAGGTAATCAGGGTTGATCCAAGGAAGACGAGGCGAAGTCACTAAATCTGAAGATGAAGGCGTTTTAAACCAGGTAAACACACCCGTGTCTTCTCGATCACTAAGGCTTCCAGTACCCGTATTATGCTTTATATATTCTCCCCCCCCCACCATAACCAATACAACACCCCTCAACCATCCCCACCAACAGCCCACCAACAGTCAAACCCCCACCTACCACCACAGGCACAATACGGGTGGGTCGGTGACCGCCTCACTACAGTATAATACATTTAGCGCAGTGTGGGTGTATCCTTATGCTGTATTTAGGTATCCTGGTTGATCAGATCCTGATCCACCGCGAGGCCTGGTCACTGACCGGGCCGCGGGGGCGTTGACCCCCGAAACCCCCTTCAGGTATACTTCAGGTATCCCCCTTCGGGGATACCTGAAGTATACAGGTAACAACTCTGCCAATAACTCTGACTTTTTGGGGGTTATCCCATGTAATTCACACATAAGTTACTATGTATGATAATTGTAGTCACCTAGATTTGTGTAATTGTACTTTTGTGTACCAGTACCTAAATAAACTTTCTTATTTACTTACGTAAAGCCTCATCCAGTCGTAGTTTCAAAATTTGATCGCTAGTGCTTGGTCACTGGGGCCAGATTCTTGCAACAGTGGCATGGACAGGTGTCCCATGAACCCATTTCCAGCACCTGGTGGGGCTCAGATAAGTTCCGAAACCCTTAGTGGTGGAGCTTATGGACCCATTATGTACCTCTAATCTGTAAATATCTTTGTAACTTGTCATGATTGTGACCAGATCTACCTGGAGTTATTATATTTGTAACTTGCTCAGCTATCATAACTTTGGGGTCCCAGTCCCTGGACCCATTATGTACCTCTGTAATCCTTTAACTGCCGCCCACAGGATGGGTATGGGGTGCATAATAAACATATAGTTAAACTAACTAAAAAATTAAATCGCATTCAGTAAATTTTAAGTTTGCCTCTTCTGAATAGTTTTAATATTTAATGGTTGAGGATTAAGACACATGTACAACAGTTGGGTATTTTTCTGATGAAACGTTTCGCCTACACGGTAGGCTTCTTCAGTCAAATGCAGACTGATAAGTATTAGTGAAATAAAGATGATGTAATGTAATCAGTCCATAAACCTTGGAGGAAAAAGTATTTGAGGTGGTCAGTCCCTCAGCCTGGAGAATAGTTCAGCGCCATGGTCTGGAATGATATTTAATGGCTTGGGCAATTTACCGCCATTAAGTACACATTAAGTTTTATTTGTGTGTAGGCAAATTTGATGTAGTAAAATAATTAAAAAAAAATAACTTGAATAATTGGAATCCGTGCTATAACTGAAGAATGACTCTTCTGATCGGCTTCAAATTTTCACCACTGGTGAGGTTTCCTGAACGCAAAATTCACATTTTAACTGAGTAGCACCTTGAAGCTTAATGATGGCTTAGTCACACAGCATACTCTTTCACAAATTATGTATGTTAATGGTTCTGTTCACCAATCCACTGTCGCAGCTGGTAGTGCCGCTGTTGTCACAGTGATGGCTCTCGTATAGAAAATGGAGCACGCATCAGTAACTGGGCCTCTACCCTTCCAACACAACTACGTGTCATGCTCCTTGCACTCATGTGTGTTCATGTATCAAAGATTGGCACTTTAATTGTAAATGATTCTTTATCATCCACCTTTGTAACTTGTCATGATTGTGACCAGATCTACCTGGAGTTCATTACCTTTGTAACTTGCTCAGCTATCATAACTTTGGGGTCCAGTCCCTGGACCCATTATGTACCTCTGTTATCTTTTGACTACCGCCCACAGGATAGGTATGGGGTGCATAAACATATTTAACTAACTAAACTCCTTAAGTATCAACTGTGGCACGCTTTTGTCAGAAGCCAGACACAGGTATGGTAGGATTGTGGACAGTGGAGTCAGAGTGCGCCTTCTGTGGATCCCATTTTACACTGGTCTTCAGACGCATGATAGAACTGATAAATTGGCAAAAGTCATATTATACCTTCCAAGTGGGAGTAGATTACATTCTTGGGCTATCAGTTAGCAGTTTGAGAACAATAATGCGACTAGAACTTCAACTGAACCTCATTGACTTGAGAATGAGGGAGACTGACACAAGTCAGTCAATCTATCATCATTCTATCATGCAGGAAGAGCCACATGTCTATGGTGCAACCAACAAAATAAGCCGACTCTTGCATGTCACTACCGCCCGGCACCGACTGGGTTACTAGTATCTCTGGGAGGTTAGGTTTATTTAGGTACAGGAACACATAAGTACAATTATCATACCCAGTTTAACATGTATAAATTACCTAGGATAACCCCTCCCCCCAAAAAATCAGATTTAACTAAATATAAACTTTGCCAGATGAACAATTGCCACGCCTTGCGTCATCAATGAATCCAGAGAGAACTCACTTAAAATGTTCAAGAAATGTCAAAATATTTTATCCACAGTTGTAAATTATCAACCATTCTGGAAAAATAAATACCCTAACTTTGTCCACTGTAAATGTAATAGTACTTAGATAAATTGTAGAGTCAATCTTTAGTGTGTCATTTCTAAACTTTCAACGAAGTAATTCTGCTGTGGAAAATTGCATTTATCTGTATGTATAATTATGTACATAACAATAAATGAGCATAGATAATTATTATTTATCAGTTAGACAAGTAGGAATTTGGGACACCTAGGTCGCAAAAATGTCCCCCTTCGATACCTACCACTGTCATATCCACAAGTTGCTCTGGACCTATTAATTAAATGAATTATACATCACCAGGAATTCTGGTAAATATATAAATTTGTGGACTGTATATTAAATTAAAAAATGATTATATATAAATACACATATACATAACAGAAGGAAAATATATCTTAATATCACTCACCAATTTGACTGGATATTAAGTTGTATCATACTCAGAAAAACCTCACTAACTAAATTTATGAAAACACTGGCCAGAATTATACACAAATCTAGAGAGCCTATCTGAGGTTCCTGGAGCTGTCTTGTCCAGTCGTCTGATATCTCAAGTTATGCAGGAATGCACATCCAACAATTTCACCTCCTATTTGAGAGGTGTCAATCCAATTTTAACCTCTAGAGCACGAAAAATTCTTCCCATTACAATGTTTCTAATACAAATTCAAAACCCAAGATGGCGAGTCTCTTCTGCGCAGGCGCAGGCTCAGTTTCCCATTTTCCATAATATATTTTTTATTAAATACAATATAGGCCATCTATTTACATATAAATACTGAATTTCTGGAAAATATATACAGTATTTTCCACATCTGCCCCAAGGCAGTAGATACCTTCACAAAATGCTTAGAAGTCAGGAGACTAATACAACTGCTGTTGTCACAAAAATAGGTTGACTCCAAGGAAGAAATATTCACCATTACTCACTGTTTTTTTTAGAAGCACACAGATCACCAGTCCCTCCCCCAGCAGGCACCGTACATATCACCCCCAGAATTCAAGCCCGGCTAACCAGTTTTCCCTGTGTTCCTTCACAGACGTTCCCTCACACTGTAACACCTTTCATATCCTAAACAGTTTGTCTCACGCGATACATACTTGCCTGCTGGATGTTCAAGCCCTTACCTCTCGTAAACCTCCTTCACGAGTAAGAAAATAAGTTTATTCAGGTATACACAAATAGTTACATAGATTACTATACATAACCCAAAAATGTCAGGTCCTCTACACATATGTCGCTATATATGATAATATATGTAACTATGTTTGTATATACCTGAATAAACTTGTAATGTCCTCTACACCTTCCATCCACCCTAGATTTAAACACTTCTTGAACAACCTTTATTCAGTCACTCTTTCTAAATTATCTATATGTATTTTGATCGCTGTGTGATCCGAGAAAGGTATCCCCGTATTTCAAAAGCCCAGCCTCCTCTACCTCAACGCACACAAAAGGAGCAGTGGAGGTTGGTTATTACGTCTTGGTTATCTGGAACGATAGGTGTTGTTCCTGGCAACAGCCTGGGTTCAGAACTTAATAAATAATGCATATTAGTCTTTGTAAAGTAAAAGGACACAAGTAATAC